GGATATAACCCCCACTTTGTGTAGATAGAAGCAAAATTTGTGTATATTGGAAGATTTGATAGGTACATTAGGGCCTCTATGAATTGTGATGGGACCTTTAAACTCCACAACGGAGCAAGGGCATTTTATGCTCGTCCTATAGTAATTTACGTTGTGTTTTTGCGAACTTATGTGTTTGTCCGCTATCTCCTCCAGGACCAAACTTGACAGGCGAACTCGTGCATGTCCTTATCTCTATGGCGTAGCACCCCTCCCCTATCAAGAGGGGATACAAATAGCCCTGAAAGTCACCCAAACATCATAGAAGTGTAGGAAAAGCTGCTGAAGGTACCTGAACACGAATGTGGTTTCGGATTTTATGTTCCTGGCCTTCCCTCGAGATCTCGGATTGGCATGTTTCAAACTTTGTTCATAACCTCACTGTCTGTCGCTAAGTGCAAAGCTGCGCAATGGGTTATTTGTACTGTGTCGCTATTTTTAGCATTGTATGTTTCTCTATATCTTTGTACAAGTAACCATTCCTTCTCACAATTTTGCAACTAGCAAGACCAAACCTGACAGTCGAAATCGAGAGGCCTCGTAGTTGTCCTTATCTGTATGACGTAGTCCCCTAACAAGAGGCTAAAACACGCTTGGAAGGTCAATTTGGCATTATGGGGGCTAAGAGTAGGTTTAAGAGTCGCTGAACCCAAAGCTGGCATCTTATTTTGTATTTCTGTACCCCGTTGGGATACAAGAGGCGCCATGCTAGAAACTGTGTTCATACTGCCACTCACAAGCTAGGAAACCAAATGTGGCACATGTGCTCAAATACCATTGACAAGTGTCCTAACTGGGTTTATTTTTGGGTACGAATCTTGTGGGGTAGTTGTAAATATAATTGGGTATAATAGAGGAGTTTGATCGATACATCGGCGCAACGGCGAATGATAAGGAAGCCTTTGAACCCAAAAGTAGGGCGCGGTATTTTATGTTAGCTTTCTTATTAAAACATAGGTGTATTACAGTAAACTTTGGCTCTCTAGTGATCAGAAAATATAATATTCTGTTTAAAATGGTTTTCTTAATCAATTACTTTGATAATAAGGTTAGAAGTTAAAAGAACAAAAATTGAAGATATTATTTATTTCCTTTTTATTTATAACCTGATCAACATTTCTGTTAGCCCCTTTCTTTGCATTTATTTCATAGAAATATCGTCTACAAAGTACTCTTCCGACTTATTGATACGTCTAGCAACCAACAAAAGACAAAGCAATCAGCTGAGTTAGTCTTGTGATGCGTGTCTTCTTCAGGAGATTACAGACTTATCCGGAATGTCACTTTATGTTGAAACAAGGAACTAACAGCTTAGAAAACCGATAAGCTAATGAAAGCTCCACAACAAACGTGAGATTAAACAAGCTGAATGGAAATGTTCAAAAACTTTGCTAGTTCAGATATATTTTGTCTTCTAACAGTTCTCTAAGAAATTAAAGTTGCATTATTTACATTATTTAACCACAAGTCCATACACGAAAAAATGAGACTAATTTTATGATTTATATTAAATACACTTAACAAAGGTATGTTGAAAGTTGGATCGGAGGTTTTCTGCGTCCGATTTATAAGCATGTCAATATGTACTTCTATTGGAATCAGCATCTTCTAAAAAAAGACGAACAATCTCATTACTGTTCGCATGTAGAGAATGACTGGAAGTTATTGGAAGCTACTGAATCAAATAAACGTATTGATAACGATATTACAAAACCCGGGAGTTTCCTAGCAACCCAGATCCTGTAATTTTTCGTAGCGACCTGGTTGCTATGTCTACAAACAAAAATTGCAATCTGGAGTTGTGTATTGTTTGATTTACTGTAAGCGTCGTCGGCTAAATCTAGTGGAATATTAAGCTTGGATTGGAACTTGAAATGAAGCCTGTATCCGGAATGGTCCCCGACGTGTCAATCACACTCCAAAGCTGTTATTGGATTGAATGAAGAACCGGATGAAGACGTGGACTATATGGCAGAAGCATTATTATATTGATTCATGAAGCCAAAGAACAAAGGTAAATGTAAAGTATTAAATCGAAATAATTTTTTAGGTATGCTCTCAAAATACTTTATTGTCTAATATAAACTTTTCTATCAAAATGTTGAATGCTCAAACAGTCATTTTCATCAGATATCCAGACGTAATGAAGTTGTTTTGCCTCCGAGTTAACTTTTGATCAAATAAGTAGTTTTAATTCACTTATATGAAACCGTTTCTTGAATTATTTAATACAAGCTAAATATATGTTTTCCTGATTTTTGGTTCTAGATTTTGCAACAGAACTGAGGTTTCAATTAGCTTATTTTCAAGCCTAAGATTTGCTATATTTTCCTGGAAAGAAAGTGAGATATTTTACTTTAGTTTACTCTGAGTGGTGTTATTTATGAAAAGTCTTTAATTTCTTAAAACAATATTAATAAATCCCAACTAATTTTCCAAGATAACATTATCGTATGTTATTGGTGTTACCAACCTAATACCTAGTTTCGTAGATAACATTATCGTATGTTATTGGTGTTACCAACCTAATACCTAGTTTCGTAGATAACATTATCGTATGTTATTGGTGTTACCAGCCTAATACCTAGTTTCGTAGATAACATTATCGTATGTTATTGGTGTTACCAGCCTAATACCTAGTTTCGTAGATAACATTATCGTATGTTATTGGTGTTACCAACAAATACCTAGTTTCGTAGATAACATTATCGTATGTTATTGGTGTTACCAACCTTATACCTAGTTTCGTAGATAGTTTTGCTTTTGACTTTTAGAATTAACTGTCTGAGCCACCTAGCCCCAAAGTTGGCGGTGGATGGTGTTCACTAGATGCCTTCCCTCTTGTCTATCACCTCAAAATTAGGAAAGATTAATGCGGGTATCCCTCGAATAGCTTTGTGCGAAATTCAAAACAAACAAACAACAAAGAAATGAACAAACAAACATAAATGAAGGGCTTGGCCATATAAAAAAAGTAACGACATTTTTGGTTGAAGATGGTGTTACTTCTGTTGAAATTCAATCATTTCTTGTGCTGGATTTGACCTACTACATGCATTTTCTAGTGTGAGATCCTAATTACCGCCACAGATCCATCCCATTGGAATGCCTTGTTAAATTTTCGACATTTTACTTAAAACGCATTACATTTCTGCACTGGTTTCATGATATTTTTGTTTTTTCTTTGAAACCTATATTATTTTAAACTGAATGAGCCTGAAATGACCGACTTCTTTTTACACCGTTCAATACCAGAAGGATTCATATCATGCATTATATTGAGTTATCTTACGTATTTTGCCTATTACAATATTCAATGTAAGAAATAAGCAGAAATTATGTGTTTATAGTTAAGCACAAAGATATACAATCGGTTATCTGTTATTCTAGTGTTATAAGTCCGCAGAAGACAAACTGCTCTGCCACTGATGGGGAGGGGCAGAGATTATGGGAAATCACTCATTTTTTTAATCTAAATTACATAGGGGACCTCAGCAATAATTAGAAGGGGCAATTGTAATACTTATAGTATTTATGTTTAATATATTTTTTACGTTACCCATGTTATAAGGAACTCTGTAATCAGTAAAGCCACGAACACGCAAGAAAGTTGGTGCTTAAGAAAAATTATATTGAAAAGATACAGAGAATTGGCTCAGTTTGAATTTCGCGCAAAGCTACTAGACGAGTCAAATTTAGCAGTGATAGACTAGAAGGAATGTAGCTGCTCAACACCTTCCACCGCCCAATTCTTGGGCTACTTTTGTTACCATAACTGAAAGTGCAAGTACGTTCGGCTACGGGGATTCGAACCCACACACAGCAAATTGCGCTTCGAGCAATTTAACCATCAGGAGTTCTTTGTTGTTAAGCGCAAAGCTACACAATGCGCTATTTGCGCGCTGCTCATCGCTGGTATCGAAACCTATTTTTAGCGTTGTAAACCCTCAGACTTACCGATGAACCACCTGGGGTGGCGAAACCCATGTTAAAAACATTATCACCTATGAAATGAAATACACTATACATAGATAATAATGTTTTCTGAGAGGCATATAAGTATTAAAACTAAACGAAGGGACGGCTAGCGCAGATAGCCCTCGTGTAGCTTTGCGCGAAATTCAAAACAAAACAAATTAATTTGGGAATTTAACAGAATAAGTTAAGCCACAATGTTAGTAATACAACTTGGAATATATAAGAATTTCTTAAAATAAATAAACCTACAACTCTGTATATTTCATGTATCTCGTTAATCAAAAACAGAAGCTTTATAACCCTTTAACAAACATTTAATCAATCTTAGTGAACAAAATCTCTAACCTTTTATCAAGCATTTGATCAATCCTAGTGATTGTTTGTTTGTCAA